TCCCTGAGTTTGCTCAGTTTCATGCTCATTGCTTCAGTGATGCTATCTAACCATCTCATTTTGGGGCTCTAAGGACTGCGTATGAGGACTACATTATCCAAAAATTTAAAAAAAAAGTTTGGGGGCCAAATGTAACCATAGGGCCACAGAATGTACAGGAACTTGTACTTTTATATGTACTTAATTTGACCATTTTGGTCTAGTCCATGGGATTAGCTATACAATTAGCTTAATGGCAGGGCAAACTACTGTATATAAACAGGGAGCAAACCCCACCTCACTTGCACTGATCATGTTACCTAGTTGGGTAATGAAACATCTGCAAACAAACCACCAAGCTCAGAGAGCACCAAGGACTCCACAGTTAGCTTAATTTCTAGAACCTTATGATCGATGTTTACTTTTTGGGAAAAACAGTATCAAGATCTGTCCACTTACCAAGATCTTAAGTTTGCATGCCACGTCCCTTCAAAAAGATGCCGAAATCCTAAGTTCAGAAGCCCTGCTTCAAGTGCCCTCACATAGCTATTCTTAAGTACCTGTGTCTACATGGGCAAAATTAAATGGTACAGAGATTTTAGGCATGCCCCCTCTTGGAAATACTCTGTTCCAGAAATCCATTCCAATTTGGGTGTTTTTCATGGCTGTTTCTAGGGCGCTGCTGGCCACAGTAAATAACTCTTCAGAGCAGACTGCTAGCGGCAATTCCTTTCCAGCAATGACTGTTATTTGTAGCAGCTGCTCTTATTTCTGCTTCTAATTGCTGTTGTCCACAACATTAATGCATGTACTTTCAGTTCCTTCTTTCCGTATGTTATACTATCTATAAGGGAAGAACGAATGTTTCATTTTAGTTAAACCCTCCTCTCTCCCAAACACCCCTTTTACAAGAACAAAGTTACTGTTTGCAATTCAGCTTTGAGATGCGCAGAAGCAACGTTGATAAAATGGAAGGATGACCCGAAATGTTTTAAAATGGCGCCTAAAGGCGAAAAGGAAGAAGGGAGCAGAGCACTCAGGGCGGCGACAAGGCCCTTGCTCTTTGAAGAGGCACCAGGAACCAGCCAGTTCAGCGTGGAGGCGGGACCAATACTCTTCCCCTCCCAGCCACACGCTCGGGAAAAGCCAAAAGGCCCTTCCTGCTTCCGTTCGGCGACATGACGCCCTCAGATACGTAAGGGCAGCCGCTTCAAGATGGCGAGCGGTCGTGGCTGCTGACCCGGAACTGTTACTTCGGGAAGGTGAAGAAAATGGGGCTGAAGTGCTATGCCCGTGTCTGGGTGAAGCGAGAGTTATGGGGTGGTGGACTATGGGGCCACAGGTAGGACGATATAACGTGTGTCCGTGTAAAGAACAGAGTTAACCGTGGGCGGGGAAAGTATTGCTAAGCGTTCGTACCGCCCTCTGCAACCACATTTCCGTCTACCGTGAATCTGGTGTTTAGTGTTAAGCGCGTGCCATGCGAGCCCAAGCATTTGATTAATTTACAAACCATAGTTAATGACGAGTAAGGTGGTTGTGTGGACGCAGCCATTAAAGGGCGTTGAGGGAGCGTAGGCGGATAGAGGGAGGTGTTGCAATACTTTTGCGAACTTCGGCCAAAGTATAGAAAAGATATGTACCCACAAAAAATAGGACGGCTGCTTTTTTGGAAATTGAAGTAGTGGGAAAAGTGGGATTAATTGTGATAAAGACTATACGGGGAGAAACACAGGGAAGTCCTTTTCTGCCCCCGGCTAAGAGCGCTGGGAATGGATGCTAAGAAGGCGGAAGGAATGGCCCGCCTTAGAAGTCCAAATCCAAAATCGTATTTGGGGTGGGGATATTTTAGTCCTTGAACCGGTGATAGTAATAGGCAGCCTAACAGAGCCTCTTCGCTTTTGTAATATTTTGTTCTCCATAAGGATATAGTGTCTTTGGTTTTTCTCCAGTTGTGGATGACTGCTAATATTTAAAACAAGCATAACTCAATCCGAAGTTACGCCGTTATTATGTTATGATTCATAAGAATATTTAAATTTAAATATGTGATGTTTGAAGAAGCTGCTGTGTGAAGCTTTGGTTTCTGCTGTGATATACTGTATGGAAGCCTCTGCTACACATACAAAGATTTAATATGTGTTGATATGTGTTTATTTTCATTTGATGTATCATTAATCCAAATATTGTATCAAAGAATATGAGCTCTGTACAACTATTAGTCGCACATGTACTGCACAATCTTGTAATGGTATAGTAAGATGCTGTGTGTTTCAACCAATAACTTCCTCAGACTGTTTCACATGTTTTTGTTGTTGTTGTTCAGTCGTTAAGTCGTGTCCGACTCTTCATGACCCCATGAACCATATCGCTCCAGGCCTTCCTGTCCTTCACTGCTTCCCTGAGTTTGCTCAGTTTCAAGCTCATTGCTTCAGTGATGCTATCTAACCATGGTTTGGGGGCATGTTAATTAAAAAAAAAAAAAGCATTATCTTGTAAGAACTCCTGGAAGCAAAGCTGCAAAATTTCAGAATAAAAGTCTGAACTGGAAGCAGGCAGCTGTGAAATTGCATGGATGCCCTTTTTAAGGATGACAGAAAATTGGAGATCACTGATATGCTTATCCTCTGTCATTTTCAGTGTCTGCTTGGATGTTTCCAGTAAGAAACATTTTCTTTTGTTGCTAGCTGCATTTTTACAGAAGAATCTCTCCACTGAAACAATAGAGGGATCTGCACTAGCTTATCCTAGAAAAGTTGAAGGATCCAATCCATAGACCCTACTGAGGATGGATTTGTTTATACCCTATCTTTCATCCCAGATGTTCAGGATCTGTCCTATATGAAAACTTTTATGTTAGCAATTACTGTCAGTACATTTTCAGTTATGAGCTTTCAGTAGGATAACTCCATAAAGAGAATATCTGCATCATTATCTGTCCAATATCTCTCCCTGGACAATTTTCATCCAGTTTCCAACCTTCGCTTTTTTAGGGAAAGTTGTTGAGAAGGTGGTTAGTTTACACCTTCAGAGAGCCCTGAAAGAAGCAACTTTCTGGACCTTTTCAGTCAAGATTCAGGCCTGGCTGTAGTACTGAGATGGCATTGATCACACTTGTCAATGACTTCTGGTGGGCTCAGGATGGCGGTTGTGCATCCATCCTGGCTGTGCTTGATCTCTCAGTGACTTTTGATATCAATCATGGTCTCCTTGGTTTAAGGATTAGGCATGGGGGGCATGGTGGTTTCCCTTTTTGTGGGGCTGGTTCCAGCCAGTGTTGGTACTTTGGGGTGGAGAGGTCAAGCCTGAGCCAATGGTTTGTGGGGTGCTTCAGGACTCTACTCTCTCCCAGCTATTTTTCTCCTCTTACAGACTTCTAAGTCCAGGTGAGCAGTGTAAAAATATATGTGGGAGAAAAGACTCATGAGGCATACGAAAAAGAGAAACTCTAACC